GCTTTCTCCCACTCCTAGTCCCCCCCATAACAGGCCCAGGCATCCCCAAAGCCTGTTTGGTTTGCATTTGAACATGTATAATAAAGTCCAGGTAACAGGGGTCACCTGTAAAGGGCTGGATTGTGGATAGGGGGCAGAGAAAGAATTTAACTTTTAACTTTCCACATTTCTACATTATATGAATTTTTTTCCAAATGTATGCACCCAAACCAACCCACCCCTCACCTTCAGTTGACTTACCTGGGCAAGGAGTTTTTCATCCTTTTCCTGAGCTCAGGGAGGAATGGCATGTGACCACCTGGATACACAGTCTTCACCTGGAGGAGGAAGAGCCAGAGGAGCTGAGGCTCAGCATAAATCCATTCCCAAGTGCTCTTCTTATAAAACAAAACCTGGCTGGGGCACAGTGGCTCACGCCTGTAATCCTAGCACTCTGGGAGGCCAAGGGGGGGTGGATTGCTCGAGGTCAGGAGTTCGAAACCAGCCTGAGCGAGACCCCGTCTCTACTATAAATAGAAAGAAATTAATTGGCCAACTAATATATATAGAAAAAATTAGCCAGGCATGGTGGCGCATGCCTGTAGTCCCAGCTACTCAGGAGGCTGAGGCAGAAGGATTGCTTGAGCCCAGGAGTTTGAGGTTGCTGTGAGCTAGGCTGATGCCACAGCACTCTAGCCTGGGCAACAAAAAAAAAAAAAAAAAAAAAAAGACTAAATTCTTCCCAAACCCACCAAACACGGATCTGGACTTGGAAGCCTTGAATCTTTCTTATCAGCTACAGCGCTGTTCTCTCATTCACCTGTCCTTCCAGTGAACAGGGTCATTTCTACCAAGGGGATTTCAGGAACTGGACTCTCCATTTCAGAGTCCAGCTTTGAGTCCATTGATGAGCCGCTTCCTGCAAGGTCTTTGCTCTCTCAATCCCTCTTTCTCCTCCCGAGGACTCTGAAAATGTTCTGAAACAACTTCAACAGCAATCACAAATTCTGACCCAAACTCTCCAGCTTTTTCACGTAAGCTTATCTTTTTCCTCCATAGACAGGGAGGGTGGCTGGTGGGCACGGAACCTGACGCTTCATGTCACTCCCAGCTATCATCTTCCTGGAGGCAGAGGGAAGCTAGAGAGGGAAAAATACCTGGGTCAGGTGAGTTGGGGGCATATCCTACAGAGCCGCTCTGCAGAAGCCCATGAAAGCTGAGTGCATGGAACAAAAAGTGGATCCAGGGCTGATGCACCTGAACTGCTAATTTAGCTTCATCCTTTCCAACTGTAATTCATAGAGCTTAATTACCTTTACTTTAAAAGTAATTAGTTTACCTAACAATATGTCTACAGCCAATAACAAGGACACATTCTTAATTTGATTATTAATTACTCCAGGAGAGACACACAGGCACACAGAAAAATAACTTGGGGTAATTTTGTAGAGAACAGTGCCCCTTCCTACTATACTCAGAATGACTGAGGAGACATGCACATTCAGGTCCAAGAACCCATGCAAGGGAGCAGCATTACTGAGGAATTGTGCTCTTTTTGAAAATCGCCTCTTCGGGCTCAAAAGACATTTGAACATTGATCCGGTACAGCCCCTGGCACTCACCTCTACCCCCAAACACTGCTTAATGGTGAGACCCCTATGGAGTTCAGTGTGAGATATCTATGAAAAAGCATTCGCCATATGCTTTTATGCTTTGACTCAGCAATACCACTTTCTAGAATTTTATCATCCAAATAGATTTGCACATATACAAAGAGAGGCTATGCACAAGGTTATTCATTGAAGTATATGCATATCATTTTATAGGATAGCACTATAATAGCCAAAAATTTGGGGGGAAAACCAATTTGTAATTTAACAGGCATATTTTGAGAATACTAACCAACATGTCCAGCAAAAGGAGTCTTAAAAAAAGAAAACTTTGGTGTATCCTCACAATGGACTGCTCTACCATTGTTTCAAAAAGGAATGAAGAAGCTCTTTATGTATTGGAAACTTCTTAGAGGATCATAAATGGTAATATACTGTTGTATCTGCAAAAAGAAACACTAGTAGAATAGTATAGGAAACCCATCAGAGGAGTCAAAGGGAACAAAACAGATGGGTACAGAAGTGAGAGTGATACCTTTCAATGTACGATTTTGTGTATTTTTACATTTTTGAATCATTCATGTGAGTTTATTATTGGTTCAAAAAATGTTAAGGACAGCATGGTATTTCATAAAGACAACTTCATCACATTTTAATTAATCAAGTTGTAGGAAATTTGGGTTGTTTCCAATTCCTTATTATCCTACACAATACTACTGTCAATGTCCTTGTAGTGAAATCTTGATCTGCTTCATTCATTATCTCCATAGAATAGTCATGAAAATAGAATTTTTAGATTAAAGTATGTAATTTTTCAAAGCTTTTTATGTATATCAATGAATCAAGCTCCAGAGAATCTGTATTCATATTTATGATTTTTAAAAGTTTACTTATGTAACTCTTACAAACCTGGAGACCCATCCAGCTTTGTCCCAGAAAGGAGTCACTTTCAAGAAGCACAATTCAAATGTCAAAAGTAATTTAAAAGAAATGATCTGAAAATCAGATTTGCCTCACAAACCCTGAGCTTTCTCTTCCCCACATACGCACATTGACACATGTTCTGAGAAGCGTGAAAGTTAGCAGGAAACTAAATGTAGTTCAATCTACCAATCTCAGGTGGACTCAACTATTCAACACTTCCCTTTAGGTATCAACTATCTTTGAGAGATGTTACTCAGCGTAGCATTAACCCTCTTCAATTGCTCAGATTTATCAGGACTGAGTGCCTATTATGGAATATGGTGTGTGGAAGAAAAATAAAGAAAACTCAGATTTAATATTTTTTTGAAGATTTAATATTTTTAAAATATTTTACCTGCTAAACTTTTATAATGAATGTCTCTCAAGTGGATTCAAATTTATAATCTGGCCCACACTGAAGTTTCCTTTCCTCATCTATCCATTTTCCTCATGCCCATGTTCCTACTATAACCTCTGCTCTGGGAATCTGCGACAACTCCAGCCTGCACAGTTGTCCCTTCTTCCCGTCGCCTCTCCCCACCCCGCAGCACTTTATGATGTAATTCAGCTAAGTCTCTGTCCCCCAGAAAGACTTCAGAGAGGAGAGACTCCTTCGGAGAGGAGGAGAGACTTTGGACTGGCAATTAGAGAAATCTCTTTGACTAGAAGGGGAAGTCTGTTAGTAATTGTCATCCTATCTGCCTGAGTAATCTCTGCTTCCCCAGTTCTCGCCAGCTTTGTGAGCCAAAGTGGGCATGTAAAGTTGCCCCCGACTACATAATGCAAAGTCTTCAGCCACTCTCAAAAACCTCACTCACACCCAGTTCAGTCTGTGCACGCCAGTCTCAGCGCAACTCCTGCCGCCCTTAGGAGGGAAATGCCTCTCTGCTCCCCTCTTGTAGCAGCTGTAGGATCAGCGACCTGCCCCGTGTCTCCTCTGCCCGCCAGAACTCGCCAGCAGATGCAGTGCCCGACACCCTGACACCTCTCTTCTTTGCAGCCTTAGTCTTTCTGCACCACGCAGAGGCACATCTCAGAAGTGAGGGAAACTGTGGCCCTCAGGGAACCTGTCCATCTGCGCGGGGCTAGGAATCGGTGGCTGAATGTCCAAGCCTCCCTGTGTTGCAGTGGACAATCATGAGACATGATCCTTACAATTGGTGGGTCAGCTGGAATGAGCCCCAGATGGCCACGGTGGCCCCCTGATTGTTAACACTGCTACCTGCCAGCTCTTCTCCCTTCCCTCTCTCAATTCTCCTGACCATGCTTGTGTCCCAGGCCACCTCCCAGTCAACCACCTGCACCCAAACTTTTGCCTTGGAGTCTCCGTGGGGGCAACCTGAACTAAGACAACTCCTTATAGCGCTTTGTTGCAATAGTCTCTGAGCAACCACCATCTCCCTGGAAACTGCCCATCACCAGGCAAAGCTCCTACTCTGCTAAGAGTAGTCAGGACTTCAAGTTATTAAAATGACATCCATGGGTTTCCAGATCTGTGTGAAAGCAACGCTGCCACAACTCTATCTCAGAGGGTTCCATGAAAGAACCAGAGGGCAGAGGGACCCAGGATCTGTTTGCCCCATAAAAAAGGGGTGGGTGTTTTCCATGAGTCGAAAAGCCTTTAGCCAAACTTGGTAAGTATGCACCAAGCCTTTGAAAGGAATCTGCACCAAAGCGTGTGTCCAGGGCATGTAACTGGTCACCCCTTCACCTCTCCTTAAACAACAGAACCTCTTTTGCCTCCACATCTGGAGGTTGTCCTGACCATCCATGACACCAGCCAAGCAGCAGCCCTTCCCCAGGAGGAAGGCAGAAAGCTGGATCTCTTGTCTCTAGTCGTGGCCGGGAGATGCCAAAAGGGGAGAAGAATGAGGTTCGTGCCACATAAAGTGGGAAAGGCAGAATCCAGAATGTCACAGAATGTCAAAAGAGGTTTCAAGTTCTTTTATCCACAAGTTTTTAATTGGCAGACCCGTGGACTGTATCAAGTCTGAGATATATCGTTTTTGGCCAACAAAAGGATTTTGTTTTAACTAACTCAAAGAGTGTTTATAAAGTTCTCAAATTCCAGATTCTCTTGAAAACTGGGAAGATCTGACAAGGCAGAGTCCATATTCCAACCTGCCATTCATTTGCTGGGGCTTAACAGTGGGGAACACTTTTAGACCTTAGTCTCCTGCCACAGTTCCAGTCCTGCACACCCAGAGCTTCGGCTGCTTGGGAACCGCACCAGCGCGGCAAGAGCTCGTGCCCCGCGCCCTAGGCGCACCAGCCCGAGGGCGCACGGTGGGGTGCGGGAGCCAGGCACCCACCCTCGGCTTGGGCTCCGAGACAGGCTGGGGACCCCGGGGCGGAGCCGAGTGCAAGGCGGGGCGCACTGAGCCGGGTCCGAGGCGCAGAGAAAAGCCGCGGGGGCGGAGCGCCAACTCCAGCGGGAAGACAGAGACCGCGACACGCCAGGAAGCGCGCTGGCGCTCGGAAGAAAGGGACATCGCCCCACGCAGCGCTTCTGTGCAGCCCAGGTCCCCGGGGCGGAAACCCAGCGGCCCGGCCCGCGCCCACCCACTCCAGGACCCTCGCGCGAGCCGCCGGTGCCGCAGAGCGCACAGGATAGGGGACACCGAGGCAAGTAAAGGTCAGATCTGCGGAGTCGGGACTCTGGCGGTGCGGTGGGGGCGTCGCCTGGGCTAGGGCCTCCGATGCCCACTTATTCTGCGGGGCATTCGGGCTGCTCTGCCTCTCCTGCCACTCTCGAGACGGCCCCGGCTGGCTCGCAGCAGGCGAATCGGCTCCGGGAGATCCCCTCGCGGCCCTCCGGGACCGGCAGGGGCGGCAAGCAGGGACTGGCGCGTGCGGCCGCGGGCGAGGGAAGCCAGAGGGTCGCTGGGCTGGGGCACGAGCGCCAAATTGCCAGGGAGAGCGCGGGCAGGGGGCACCTTCCTGAAAGCAGGGCGGCAAAGAGCGGGCGTCTGTGGGAAAATTCCCGCGCGCCGCGTCCTCCGCCCGCCCCGCGTTTTCTTCCTGCCCGCGGCCCCGCAGGCTTCGCTTCTCCAGCCTGGATCTCTGACTCGATTCCCGCCCCTGCCAGGGCGGCGCCTCGGGAGAGCGCGGGCGCGTGGATGAGCTGGGCGGGGGGCTGCTGGAGCCGGGTGGTCTCGGGTCTGGGGGGGTGGCACCTCCTGCGAATCGGGGCCGCGACCCGCCCCAGCCCGGCGCGCGCCCTCTCATTTCGGGTCCGGGGACAGGAAAGCCGCGGAGCGTAGAAGCCGAGAGGGCAGGGACTCCTGCTGCTCGGGTCTCCAGCGGTGCAGCCTGCGGAGACTGGGGTCTCCTGGGGCGGAGAGGCCCTCCGGCACGCAGTGGGCGGGCGCGCCCCAGGTTGGGGTGTCCCTGCCATCCTCCTGACTCCTGTTCCTTGCTGGGGCGCAGTTCCTGACCCTCGGTGCCGCCTTCCCCTCACAGAGGCGCCCAAGCCTGTTGTCCACTTTGGTCCCCTTCTTGCTACCAGTATCCCGCGGCCCCCACACTTGGAGTCGTTTCCAGGTGTGCAGAGAGGTGGGGGGAAGGCCACACAGCTGGACAGCCAGGGCCCCTTCCCAGATGCTGGGGTCCAGGCTCTTTTTCAGTCCCCTTGGTGATGCCTGTACCCCACAGCGCCCTGTCTCCTGAAGCCTCAGTACTTCAGAGACTGTTTCCTCCCGTGTGGGGATATTGAGGCACTGAGAATATAAAGGACTTAGGCCATCAAGGGCACTTCCCGCCTCGGGCTTTTCTGGGTGTTCGATAACCACCCCTTATTCCTCCCCCCACCTTGGGGGCTGACTTCAGTTAAGCCAGCTTTTGGAGGGGCCACCCCTTCCAGAGGACACAAGCCTTGGTGACAAGACTTAATGCCTCTAGTCAGGGTTGACTTCGGGTGGAGAACTGGGGCTGGAGGGAAGGGGGAAGGAGGGGAAGCAGACAAAGTGTTTCTTTCTAGAGCTGGTCCCCAAAGAACAGGAGAGCAGCAGGAGCATTCCCTCCCAACCAGGGCCGCGGCACCTGCAGAACCCTGGGCAGGATCCTCATTCACTCACTCAACTGAGTCCTATCCAGCCCCACTGTGCGCCAGGCCCTGGACTGGGCAGCAGGAATTGGGTTTACAGGAAGACTGGGACTCCAGGAGCATACATCAGTGGCCCGGGATGACTCAGTCTGTCCCTGTGAAAATGGATTTGGTGGTTTCCAAGTCCATGGTTTGGCCAGGGCAGAGGAGCCCTGTCCTGCTTTAGTGGAAAGACCCCACCGAGTCCCAGCCCTCCTGCTTCTTTGTCCCTGGTGGCAACGGTGGCACATTGTGACTGCCATAGAAGCCTGCACCAGCTTCTGGGAGCAGCCTTAGAAAACTTCCAGAAGACCCTTGTGGGGGGCTGATGTATTTGGGGTGGGAAGGTAGGTGTGATGGGCAGGCAGACAGACCCTGGTCCCTGGGAAAAGGGCACAGGTGCACATTCTTAGGTGTCTCTGGAGAGTCCAATCCATCCTATGCTCAGTCCTTCCTGACAGCTGGGCAGCCAGTGGAGGTTTCCCAACTTCCAGATCTCATGTCTCTTCTCCTCTGCATCCCGGGTAGCTCTGTCTGGGGGTTGGCAGTAGGTCTGATTGGCCTATTTCTGGAGAACTTAAGGAATGCCACCACTTATTCTTCTGCATGCTGTCCACTGGTTGTGTCTCCTTCCAGATCCAGGATGGTGAGTCACTTCTCCCCAAGGATGTGAGCAGGGTGCCAGTCTCACTGACCTTGTGAGCACAGAAGGTCTGGACCTCCAGTTCAGAGCGCTTGGACCCCTTACCCCCGTACCTCCCTCACACCTCTCCCCCGACAGACCTCACCATGGCAGCCCAGAACGGAAGCACTAGTTTTGCACCCAACTTAAATCCACCCCAAGACCACGCCTCCCTCCCCTTCAACTTCAGTTATGGTGATTATGACCTCCCGCTGGATGAAGGTGAGGACGTGACCAAGACTCGGACCTTCTTTGCAGCCAAGATCGTCATCGGCGTGGCGCTGGCAGGCATCATGCTGGTCTGTGGTATTGGCAACTTTGTCTTTATTGCCGCCCTCGCCCGCTATAAGAAGCTGCGCAACCTCACCAATCTGCTCATTGCTAACCTGGCCATCTCCGACTTCCTGGTGGCCATCGTCTGCTGCCCCTTCGAGATGGACTACTATGTGGTGCGCCAGCTCTCCTGGGAGCACGGCCACGTGCTCTGTGCTTCTGTCAACTACCTGCGCACAGTCTCTCTCTACGTCTCCACCAACGCGCTGCTGGCCATTGCCATTGACAGGTGAGGATGCTGGGTGGGGTGGACAATGGAGCCGGGCCAGAATGTCTCTTTCCTGGCTTCAGCCCTGCGAGGTCGGCATTGCTCCAGGTATAAATGCTGACTGATCTTTCGAGGGGCGAGAGGAGACCTTGTTTCTCCTGTTGTGTTCTTTTCCTCACAAACGTGAGCAAGAGTGAGGCTTCTGAGTGCCCCGGCACTGGGCCATGGCCCCCGATACCACGTCTGCCTTAGATACAGGCATGTCCTGTGACAGTGTATGGCATCCAACAAAGGCAAAAGCGGAAAGTTCAGGCAGCTACTGCTTAGAAACCACTTGAGAGTTAACCAGGGCAGCTTCCAGCCAACACCAAGTTTTATACCAAGGTTTTCCTGTAACCACTACCGAGGCCGACACGTAAAACATTTCCAACACCTAGAAAATTTCCCTCGCCCCTTCCCAGTCAATCTTCTCACCCAAGCAACCACTAATTTGATTTCTATCATCATAGTTTAGTCTTGCCTCTTCTTTAACATCATAAAAAAGGAATCATACAGTTTGTACTCTTGTTTCCAATGACTTTGTTGCAGGGCTGATTTTTTTTTTTTTTTGCTTTCTAAAATTACTTTTTCCAAAATTTTTACAGGGGTATAAACGTTTAGATAACATATATTGCACTTGCACCACCCAAGTCGAAGCTGCAATCGTGATTGCAGTTGATTTTAAAATAAGATAACAAGGTTTACAGAAAAGAGGGAAGGACATGCTTGCTTTTGCTTTCCTGCATACGTCCCTGTGCTCATTTGCATACATTTGCATGAGGTGTTCCAGAAGTCCTTGCTCTATTTTATTTTTTTCTTTCTTTTATTTATATTTTATTTTATTTTTTGCTTTTATTGTTATTTTAATTGACACATAATAATTGTACATATTTATGTGGTACAGAGTGATATTTTGATGCGCAAGTACAATGTGTAATGATCCAATCAGGATAATTAGCATGTCCATCACCTCAAGCATTTATCATTTCCTTGTGTTGGGAATATTCAAAATCCACTCTTCTAGCTATTTGAAAATATACAGTATATTGTGTTATAGTCACCCTATAGTGCCGTAGCACTAGAACACTAGAATTTACTCCTTCTATCTAGCCCTTGCTCTATTTTAAATCTATAAAGTAAAATTTATAATAGCAGCTCATCACAAATCTACACACATTTTATTTATGCAAACAGTTGTAGGCCGACATTGGACTATCAGTGGCTCTGTGTGATGGGGCAGTTGGTGTCACCTCCTTTTGGTTACTGTCTGCCATTGTGAGCTGTGCTTTTTCTGATGTGTTTAAGCATCTTTTCTTCCTATTGTCTCTCTTCAACTCTTCAATTTTTCCCTTGTCCTCAGTGTTCTCTTAAGTGTGTTTCCCTTTTTAATCAACCCATTTATTATTTTTCATTTTGGTAATAAGATACACATACAGGTACAAGAAGCATCTTCTTTCCTTTTTATAACCTAATTCCTGCAGGGAGAACATTTTTGTTACAACTCTCAGCTCTCCAACCCTGAAACCAGCACTTATAAAATGTGTACCTATCAACTAACTGCATGAAACTCCCCAGAGCAAATGGTACAAAGTATCATTTGATACAATGATACAAAGTCAGATTCCTGGGCCCTAGTCCAGCCTCTTGCATGGGAATCCCTTGGACTGAGGCCCAGGAATCTGCATTTTTATCTAATTCCTTGAGTAATTCTGATGCTCACTAAAGTGAGAGTTATTGCTGTTATCATCCTCTTTGTCCTATTGAAAGCTTTGTCTTTGGAACTGGCTCCAACTACAATAGCCAAAAAAAAGAGAAAGAAAGCTTTGTCTTTATAACGTTGAGGGTTTTATGTCTTTTTTTTTTTTTTTTTGGTAACATTGGAGTTTCTTGGGAAGCACAGCAGATACCAGAGTGGTTCCTTTTCGACCCCAGACCAACTGTGCCCCAGTTAGCTTCCCATCCCCATCAGCAGTTCCATCATTCTCTCAGTCACCCAAGCAGGGAAGAGTTACCCTCATTCTTTACCTTTCTCCCTATCCCACCCCACCCCCCCACCCCTTGTGTTCAGCCCTACACCAAATCCTGCCAATGCTCCCTCCAGCCTCATCTCTTAGCAAGTCATAGCTGGACCATCACCATGCTCTTCTAGCCTGTCTTTTCACTCCCCAGGAGCTCCTGACTGTTCTGTGAAATGTATCCTCATCTGTATTAAGCATGGGAATGTCATCATTGGTGGGTCTTCCTAAAGCATTTCATCGCTTACAAAATCTCTGAAAGTCTCAGCGTTTACAGAGTACATGCCAAATCCTGTGTCTAGCATTCCAGAGCATTTGTAATTTGATGCCAACCTATCTTTCCAAACTCATACTATGTATGGAGATATAGGCAGTCTTTTCCAAAAGACAGTGTATTTTAAGCACAATAACCATGTCTTAGGCTGAGCGCGGCGGCTCATACTTGTAATCCTAGCACTCTGGGAAGCCAAGGCAGGCAGATTGTTTGAGCTCAGGAGTTCGAGACCAGCCTGAGCAAGAGCGAGACCCTGTCTCTACTAAAAACAGAAAGAAATTAGCTGGACAACTAAAAATATATAGAAAAAATTAGCTAGGCATGGTGGCACATGCCTATAGACCCAGCTACTTGGGAGGCTGAAGCAGAAGGATTGCTTAAGCCCAGGAGTTTGAGGTTGCTGTGAGCTAAGCTGATGCCACGGCACTCTAGCCCAGGCAAAAGAGTGAGACTCTGTCTCAAAAAAAAAAACAAAAAAAAACTATGTCTTCTAATTTTCTGTGTCTTAGATTATACCTCTGTCTTGGTTTGGGGTACTCCCAAAACAGACTCTGAGACAACGATTTATGTACAAGTAGCACCCAGGATGGGAAGTGAGGCAGGGAAGGAAGGCAGTCAATACAGAATGCCTGGTATTACATAATAACTTGTTATTAAACAAGTTTTCACTGTGGGCAACTAGAGCTTATTCCTGCTGGGGACTCTCGGACATACTGCAGGTGACACCTCAGAGTTCTCCCAGGAGTGGGAGGTGGGAGGGAGCTAGGGAATTTACACGCCATCTCTTGTTAAGTCATTGGTAAGGGCTGCTCCAGAAGTGCTGTGCATGTAGCCAAGAGAACTCTGGAAGCCAGAGAAAGCCTTCAGGCAAAGAAACACTGGTGTTGACAGGTAGGAGTGGACAGGTGCGCACTGAAGTGACAGGAACAAATGGATATATGAGACGGACACTGGGAGCCCACCTGGTAGAGCCACAACAGGTTGCTGGGTTCTGCCGTGTACACAGAGTGTGTATATGGAAGCTTAAAGTAGTAGAAGATACAGTCCTTGACCCCAAGGAATTTTTCTTCCACACAAAAACTAGTACTTATGAAACATAAAGAATAGTCAAGAGATAAGACAAGAGTCATTTGAAGGAAGATGTGATCATTATGTTACTGAGGTAGTCTGGGAATGTTTTGTGAGGAAGATATAGAGATTTAAGGGTGCTGTTCTGATCACCTCAGACTCACCCCATTGATAAAGGGGGGATTCTCCCACCTCAAATAACACAAGAGGACTAAACACATGACACTTGACACTGGACAGATGAGCCTGACAGCAGTTAAGTACTCACTGATGCTCACAGCCTGAGGGAAGAGGACAGCACACATCTTGCAAGGCCACACAAGGGCTGCACTCAGCAGCAGAGCGAACCAGCAGGGGCCGCGAGAGGCAGGCTCTGTAGTGACAAGAAGGCGGGGTGACCCTTGGTTCCTGAGGGAGAATGTGATTGGCTTGTTTGAATAATTCTATGGACTGGCAGAGAGGTGATACCCGTTAGTTAGGTTGAGAATCGAGGTGCAGCTGGTCCAGCTGGATTGGGACCCCTTCCTGCTGGGTGGAGGAGTACATCTGTTGAGAGCAGAGAAACTCACAGCTCGGCCTTCGGGGCCCCATGAAGCTCAAAGATGTCAAGGCAGCACATGGAATGTCAGGACTGATGACACAGGAGCCTAACAAATAGCCACTCCTCTCCAACCAGGTTTTCTGACCAATTGAGAAATAAAGCAAAATGGTAAGAAAGATGGATGGTCACTCTCAGCCCTGTTGATGCTGACTTTGGAGAACAGGGCTTTTATCTTTGGGCACATTCAAGGACCTTGGCAGATGTCCTTCTTCCCATGGGAGGTGGAGAGTTTAAACAGCATACTGTAGCTTCCCACACACCTTATGCACTTTTATTTACCTTTTCAGAACCTGACAAAAAGCCTTAGAGGCTGTCAGTAAGGTGATGATTATTCCCATTTCACAGGGGAAGAAATTAAGTCCCAAACATAACTGATTTATCTAAGTGCACAGCGCATAGGTCCAGGTGTCTAGCTGGAATCTAGGTCTTCTGAATAACTCCTAACCCTGTTTTGTTTTTCTGATTTATTTGATGACAACTCTGAGTTTTAGAACATCCTACAGAATGAGGAAGATGATATGGATGGAAAGAGAATTTGAATTTAAGAGTTGACAACAGAATAAGCAGGAATGTGGAAATTCCCTTTGGCATTGGTTATTGAGGTACTGTCTATGATGGAACCAGTTTGAGAGACAGCCATTAAGTCCCAAATTAGTTTTGCATTTTCTAACGACTTTGGAGGCAGTATGGTAGGTGGAATAATAACACTCCCATCCAAGGATAACCACATCCTAATTTCCAGAATACATGAATATCTTATATTCTGTGCCAAAGGGGAGTTAAGGTAGGAGATGGAATTAGCAAATTGGCTGATCTTAAAATAAGGAAATTATACTGGATTATCTGGGTGGGTCTGATGTAATCACAGAGACCTGAAAGAGGGAGGCAGGAGAGTTTGTGTTCGAATGATACAGTATAAGAAAGACTAGTCTGGCCACTGCTGGCTTTGAACAGGGAAGGTGTCACCAGCCATGGAATGCAGGCAGCCCTAGAAAAAAACAAAAGACAAAAACAACCCAGCAACTCCGGAAAGCCATCCTTGCCTTGCTGACACCTTGATTTTAGCTCAGTGAAAACCATGTCAGAATTCTGACCTCCAAAACTGTAAGATAAATTTGTGTAGTTTCAAGCCACTAAGTTTGTGGTAATCTGTTACAGCAGCAATAGGGCACTAATGCACTCAGTCACCACAGAGAGACAGTGGTTGTCAGGTGTGCCTGCCCCAGTTGAGGGTGAGCCAGCCCTTTGAGCCCAGTACCACCCAGGAAGATAGTGCAGGTTAACTCAGCAAGGCTGGCTCATATGGATGGGTGAAGAACTCCACCAATCACTGTGCACATAAATACATCTAGCTGGGGTGCAGCCAGTGGTTGCAATGGAATCCAGCTTCATCCTAGATCTTCTGAAGCCACAAGCTGGGCAGAGCCATGCTGCCATGGGCTCTCCTAATAGATTTCAATGGCTCAGAGCCACCAGGAGGCTGGAGGCAGACAAGAGAAGATAAAACAACCTTGTGACAGAGATATTGCCAGGGACAAGAAGAAATAACATAGAAGGTCTTTTTAGTCCAGTCGAAGACCTAGGAAGGTGATCAAAGAATCCGGTTACAAACGAAAGGCAAGTGGGATAGAACTTTCTACAGATGGCTTCTTGCTCTCGGTGCCCCTGACTCAAGCTCCAGGTATGGGGTACACGTTCATTACCAGGGTTGATTTGTGTTTTCCCTCACCCTGATGCCTCTTATCTTCCTCCACCTTCTCCCATCACTCCTCCACATCTGTAATAAACTGCACAGAAATGACTCCAGGGCACCAAAGTATCTAAATAGAGTGTCATTACATCTTTTTGGAAAGAAAGTATTTGACCCATGCAAATGAGCTCATTTCATACAAACATCTCCAGACGGTCTTTCCCAGACAGTGTGGCTTACTGGAAAGAGTAGGGAAAAGCCTTATGGGGTCAAGGTGACTTCATGCACCTTCTCATTTGAGCATGAGACAGCCCAGGGAGGTGGGTGTAAAAGGTCTGTATTAAGAGCCCAGAGTCTGGTCCCTGCACGACGTGAGCTTGGGAAAGACATAAACTTCTTGCAGAGTCCTTAGATTCTATGACAGACCCACCCTGACTCTTCTGCCTCTGAAATGCAGGATGACAAGGGAGGGGGAGAAAGCCCTTGTGCACAGCCCTTCCTTCACCTCTAAACCATGAGATATTTGGGAATAAAGAGCTTTGAGAATATTATGTTCTTGGGCAGAATGGCAAGATGGAAACCCAAGGTGGTATAATAGGACTCTTAATAAATAGGCTGCAAGTATTTCTTGAACACCTACGATATACAGAGCATTTTACAAAAATTATCATTTTTAATATTCACAGCAGCCTTACAAGGTAGGTATCATTTTATCCCAGGTCATTTTTGAGGAAACATACCTCAGAGAGATTGGGTAATTCATCCCAGAACTGAAAGCCAATTAGAGAAAAGCCAGGATTTATTCAGCCTGTTTGACCCAGTGCTGGTGCTGTTTCTGCTAAACCACTCCACTACTCCAAATGGCGCTGCTCAAATAAGATGAAGCTTGTTGAAGCTGGTAACAGATGCATGGGATTCATTGCACCATTTTGTCTGCTTTTGTGTGTGCTTGGGGTTAGTTAAAAACTAATGTTTTCAAGCATACATCATTGTTATTGTCATGTTCCCTCCATCACCAGGTACCTTGCCATCGTTCACCCCTTGAAACCACGGATGAACTATCAAACAGCCTCCATCCTGATCGCTTTGGTCTGGATGGTTTCCATTCTCATCGCCATCCCGTCCGCCTACTTTGCAACAGAAACCGTCCTCTTCATTGTCAAGAACCAGGAGAAGATCTTCTGTGGCCAGATCTGGCCTGTGGACCAGCAGCTCTACTACAAGTCCTACTTCCTCTTCATCTTTGGTATCGAATTCGTGGGCCCTGTGGTCACCATGACCCTGTGCTACGCCAGGATCTCCCAGGAGCTCTGGTTCAAGGCCGTCCCCGGGTTCCAGACCGAGCAGATCCGCAAACGGCTGCGCTGCCGCAGGAAGACGGTCCTGGTGCTCATGTGCATTCTCACAGCCTACGTGCTGTGCTGGGCGCCCTTCTACGGCTTCACCATCGTGCGCGACTTCTTCCCCACCGTGTTCGTGAAGGAGAAGCACTACCTCACCGCCTTCTACGTGGTCGAGTGCATCGCCATGAGCAATAGCATGATCAACACCGTGTGCTTCATGACCGTCAAGAACAATACCATGAAGTACTTCAAGAAGATGATGCTGCTCCACTGGCGTTCCTCTCGCCAGGGGAGCAAATCCAGCGCCGACCTTGACCTCAAAGCCAGCGGGGTGCCTGCCACAGAAGAGGTGGACTGTATCAGGCTAAAGTGACCCACTGGTGTCACACAATTTAAAACCCCAATTCAGTACTAAGAGCATCACCTACCATCAACCAAGTTCACAAGCTGCATGGGAAAGAACATCTGTGTTCATGGTCCCCTGCCCTGAAGGAGCTGGATGCTTCTAAGTCATTAACATGCAGTGTGATGACTAAATGCAAACTGCAGCAGCTGACATTTACTGATATATGCTCAACACCTACTGTGTGCATGTTGACAACAAGGAGACTAGATACAAGTAGCAGCAACTGACATTGATCGGACACCTACTGTGTGCAAACCACACCAATGAGATCAGACAAGGGCAACAGGAGCTGACAGTTACTGATTACCTACTGGGTGCAAAAACATTTGGAAAACCAAACAAAATGGGAGAAGCTATCATAGTATCCAATTATGTAAATAGCCAGGCAGAGGCCACAGATAGTTATCTGGACTCAGCCTCTACCTTCCCTCAGTCAGTATCAGTGCAGGAAGGTCAAAGGCTATAAAGAATGGCACTCAGACAGGCACTGAGACACAATGGAAATGTCAAGGATAAGCTCCCAGTGTGGGGTTTACAGCCTCATGAGAAGAGAGTTCAAGTTTTCCCACCCAGCTCCTGCTACCTCCTGGAACATTCTCTAGGATTCTGGCTGCCAGAAAAAAAAAAAAAAAATTCTTGCCACCAGGCCAGACTGATGCAGTTATCTACAATGATGTAATCTCAAAGGAAAGAACCCAAAAATCTCTTTTCTATTGATGCTTGAAAGCTTATCATTCTATTGGGTGAAGACGGGCAATGCAGAGATGAGGGACACATCCAGTTCCTGACACTTCAGTGCACAGAATTTCAGGGACCCTTGGATCAGGGAGGAAGAGGACAGAGAGGGGAGCAGAGGTTGCCACTGGTGATGAAGTGAACATAATCTGTGTGGTCATTCTGGTAAGGCCTGAACCATTTTCTAGAACGCACCCTCTTTTATGGAAGGAACTCTACCTGAAATCCAAAGGCCTGGGTTTGAGTCCTAACTCTAAGACTCATGTTCTAAACTCATGGATGTTTTTTCTCCATGTCTCAGTTTTGCTTTAATGAAATGGAGATGATGAAAATACATGCTCTGCCTGCCTTGCAGAGATGTTGGGAGGGCCCATTACGTCAGGGTTTGTGAATGTGCTTTTCAACTATACACATGATAAGAATGCATGAGTGATAATGAACAGTTTGGAAGGAGTTTGGAAACCCCAACCACTGTGACTGATGATGGAGAATCACCCCCACTTTTTCATCCCCATTCTTTGGACCAGAGAACCCTGAATTCTTTACAGTGTAGCCTGTCTACACTGGGGCAAAAAGGAATACCTGTCCTGGGTTATAATCGGGAAAATTTAACCTCAGAGACTTAGTGACCCCCAGAATCTCAGCATCCCCATAGTCTTAGAAGTGTTGACAGTCTTCCCTGCATGTTGCAAAACAGCACAACCCAGGGCTGCGCAAATATCACTTCTGAATCTGTCTGTACTATTATATGTCTGTGGCGACTGTGTATAGATGTCCTCATTTCTTCCTGATTCATTCTGAAGCAGAGAAACAACATGAATGGTATTTGGTTTGGTCAAGTTGACCCATCCATATTTGGTCAACTTCCAATTTTCTGTACAGAAGGACTTATTTAGTTGTTTCCTTGGGTTTTGTTTTTGTTTTTGTTTTTTTTTTTTGGTTTGTTTCTCCAACAGTGAAATTTCAACCAACATTTTTTTCTATCACCACCCAGCAGATTCACCTTCAGCCCAGTCGTTTTATCCTCAGAAAATGCAAAAGCATTGCAATATTAGCTTAAGCAAAGCATTTGTAAATTCCGATTTAAAAAAAATTACACAATGAATTCCAAAGCCAAGCAAGTAAGCATGTTATCTACATTTTTATAAGTATGATAATTATATTCTTATTTATTACCCTGTCCTGATTCCTCCTCATCAGAAGATTCTTAGGAGTAGACTGTGTCCCAGTTGAGTCTGTTAACAGAATTCATCCGCTTTTTCCTTTTTATCCTAAAATGTACTATCCTCCTTTCATCTAGATTTCACTGAAAAAAACTTCTGTAAATATCAGTGTGTATTTGTGATCTTCCAGTGAATAAAAGTGTTATGTTGTTATCAAATGAAATGATTAACATATGGAATCTTAATCACAGTGTTGAAATGTTTCCCTGCTCTCTTGAATGGAGTAATAGCCACCTAAACAGTTCAATTGTGAGACAGAGAAGGAATTTATCAAAGGTGTTTTAGAACAGTGGCAGCTCATGCCATCAATCACCCTCCTCCTGGTCACAAGCTGACAGCCCAGGAGTGTATTCATGGCACAAGGAAGCAGGGCACCACTACGCTGTGCCCATGCGACCCCTTCGTTTCAAAACGATCTCATTTGTTTAAATGAAAGCTGCTGCTTGCATGGTGACTACTCATCCCTCCAATTGGTATTAAGGCAATAAATCAATTGCACTTGTGTTTACTCTTCCTCTCAAGACTAATTAATGGTAAGCTTAAGATCCTTTTAATATGCTAAGATATATTAACATACACATTCATACCTATTGTTATACATTGGAAAGTCAATATTATTTAGCAAAACAAATCCATTTTCTCAGCTGGAATAAGAGAAAAGATGGCTCTGTGAGGCCCTCAGGCCTGAAAACCAATTTCAGACTTAACAAGGAAGAATACAACATGTAGGAGGTGTTTTAAAAAACTTAAAATGAGTTCTATTTCTACGGGAAAATGATGGCTTTGAAACATATGCTCCCAATTTAACTATTAATCTGTCCGTTGGGCTCAAGAGAACACACACACACACACACACACACACACACACACACACACACACACACACACTCCCAATAGGAAACCAGACCAGGAACGACCTTTTAAGCATACATAATTCAACTCACTCCTTTCTTAGGAGAGGAGATATGAATTACAACTAAGGAAACGACTCACCTAAGGGGCCACAGCGAACACTCACTGGAGACAAAACATCGCCCCAAGATTTGAACTCTGGCCCAGAGAACTGTACTCAGGGCCTGTACTCCTGAGTCTTAGCAAGAAATAGACCCTTGCTAAGAATGTTTAAGCTGTTTCTGGCATCCCAGCAGGATCTTAAGCTGTGGGGAAGATACCTTTCCTCCTCCTCAACAGGCCAACGATGAATCTCATCCGGACTCCAGGATTCCAGGGAAACCAGAAAGCATCACACCTGGGGCACTAGTGCTCCTGTCTTCTCCCGATGCTGGGGGCGGGGCAGCAGTGAGGCAGAAGGGGGCGGGGGGGGGGGATGTCTTAACACATTTGGCTTGAACATACATGGAGCTATTTGCAAGTGATGCAGGAGCCACGTGGGAAAACAGATTGTGATGAGAGGCAACCCGGCCTCAGGAAAAGCAGGTCGTGGGGGAAAGGTTTGCTCACGTTCAAAGACAAAGCAAGTCTGGGGCCATCCACAACCCAGTGTGCAGTCTTCATCCAAGTTACTACTGGCTGCCCCTGAGCAGGGGTCACTCTTCATGCCTCCCGGGAACCAGGTGCTTCTGATCACCAGGTCGGCCTGCGTCCTGAGGTGTACCAGGGATATATCATCTCTTGGGGTTGCTGGTGCCCTCTTAAATGGTGGCACAAACACAACTGCTGTCTCTGCTCCTTGCCTGGCAGAAGCTTGGGCAGCTGGACCCTAGAGGGACCTGGGAGCAGAAAGTCTGGACTGTCCAGTGGCAGTAACACAGGTGGGGCATACATTTATTTAATCAGCATATCTTTTGCTAACCCTGGTCTTCACCTTCAGCCCTATGCTGGAGAAACCTCCCTGCTACCCAGGGCAGTTAGTCAGCTGGGCAGCCAGGATTCCCACAGTAAAGATCTTTAACTCCTTCAAGAACAATTTAATCTGGCTCCTCCAATAGCAGGAATGTGAGCACATTAATCACCCTAATCCTGCAAAGGACTGCCTGAGAGGCTGTGCAGATCCATCTGCTCTCAAAGTCTTGCCATTAAGAACCTTTGCCATTAAGACCCTTTGCCGTTAAGCTATATGGCACGCCAACTGTTTCAAATGCAACATCGACAACAATAATACATCTTGAAGTTTGTGTTCCTAATTGGATGTTCAAAGAGCTCAAAATCCAGGACAATTTTCCCATTTTCTAAAAATGGGTTTGGCACTTTCTTCAGATACAACAAATTGAGGAGGTAGGGAGTTTTTTCACTGGCACTTAGAAAGTCATCACAGAACAGGGAAGTTGGCAGGGGACTTTGCCTCTAAGAAGTAGGGGGGCCAGCCCTTAGCACAGAGAGCCAGGCAGACACAGGGTCCTTGTATCCCTTTGTTGACTCTTTGTGCTAAATTTCTACATATGGGTCACAGGCTGAGATGAAAGAATTAGTCTCCAGAATCTCATTTAATGCTGACCTTGGGTTTCCAGCTCCTAGGCAAGATCCCAACAACGTCTTTTTACTAAACTCTGCTGCAGAAATGGTACAGTGTTTGGAGAAAGGGGCCTTCTGCTTACTCATGCAGTTTCTGGGCTGGAGGCTATAGATGGAACACAATGACAGAGATGCAAGCCTGAGTCTCAAGGTGATTAATTCTACCTGAAAGCTAAGACGCTGGCAAGACGCTGTAAGTGCAAAGATGAAGTGAATTTAGAGAAAAGTTCCTTCCAGCTGTGGGGATCAGAGAAGGTTTAGGGTGGGGGGGGGTAGTTAGGCAGGACCTTGGAAGATCAGGAAGTGGTGAGGAGAAGGTATCCCAGACAAAGGGAACAGAAGGAACAAAGATCTAGAAGAGGGAAAATGAGATGGAATGTGAGTGGCTTGGGTTGACAGGCGCACAGGATGCAGCGTGTGTAGGGAGAGCCCATCAGGGCAGCGTGCTGACAAGCTGGATGAAGAGGCAGGGGGTCGGAGCAGGCTGGAAGGGCCTGGGATCCCCAGCTGGACAGAAGTGCATTCAGATAATAATTCTTTACTTACCCATGTGAATTTGGAAAGACACTAGACCTCCTATCCAGGCCATATTTCCTCATGTGTAAAATGGGAATAATAATAGTATTTACATCATGGGATTGTATGTATATTAAATATATTTTAGAAAATGCCTGGTATATCATAAGCAGACAATAGATACTAGCTGTTATTTTTAGAATGATTAATTTTAGGAATAGAATTTCTCCTAGATGGATCCAGAACATTGTGTCAAATGCAATGGATATATTTTGGAATTATCAGACCAGGGCATTTTTATTATCTGTGATCTCAAGTTTCAACTCCCTACCATAACTGTTCAACTCAAAGCAGCGGTCTCCAACCTTTTGGCACCAGGGACTGCATTTCATGGAAGACAATTTTTCCATGGGGTGGGGGTGGGGAGGAGGCAGAGCTCAGGCAGAAGCAAGCAATGGGGAACAGCTACAAATACAGCTGAAACTTCACTCGCTCACTTGCCACTCACCTCCTGCTGTTCCCCCACTCACTGCCCCCTGTTCCTGAGTTTCATGGAATACAATTTTTCCATGTCTGTGGGACAGGGGTGTGGGGTGGTGGAGTTCTGTGGCCCAGGAGTTGGGGACTACAGACTAAAAGCGGAGGATTTCTTCCGCAGTGTAGAGAGGATGCCATTCCGCCATTAAGACTGAACTGGAAAATTTAATGATCCTCAAGAAAGAGACCATGTCATAGGTGAAGTCCTTTTTATATAGGAAGAAGAACAGCATCCACTTCCTCCAGCCCCAGTGGGTGGTGGGAAAGAAACAGAAGTTAGTTGAAGGCTAGATGCATTTGTCCTTGCTTTCTCCTTCAGGGGCTCAATCTAGGGGTTACAGGTGGGAATGCTATAGAAACTGCTAAGGTATAGGGGAGCCTGAGATCGTGTGGTGGGAAGGCAGCAACGGATGCTTCCCTGGGCTCACTGGGGGAGACCCCAGATCTCTGAGAGGAGCCCTGCATGTGACCCAGGGACATGGTGAAGCAGCCGTGGGAAGAGGTGGGAAGATGCCTCCATCCAAGGCAGTGCCCTAATACCCACAGCAAACAGTGAAGTGCAGGGGGTCCCTGAATTCCTACATGCCCCACTTAGGGGCCACAGATGGATGGGCAAAGGGTTGATGTCAGGTTAAATTGGCCATTATCAAGGACAAGTGGCCAGGACCACAAACTCCAGAAGACCAGATGGGCCCATTGTTCCTTAGCAATCATCCCCAGCAGAGCCAGCAAAGACCCAGCATCTCGCAACACATAATCCTGAGTCTTCCTTCTTTCCTCCTCCAACGTGAAGCCACTGGAAACTCTACCGCACTAGAAAGCAGCAGGCGTCTGAAATCCAAAGGATTTCTTGTGTCCCAAAATGAACGATTTAAACTGAAGTTAGTCTACTTCAATTCAAAAAGACTCTTCATCACTCATAGCTAAATTTAAGTTTGCTTCCCTACCTCCCATGAGATGGAGCTTATGAAGATTCAATCAATGGTAGAAGAATCAGGGAGCTACATTTTCCCAAGGGTGGTGTCAGCCAACGCTGCACATATAACTATGATGAAGAGGCAGCAGGAGACTGGGTTAGGGAGAAAAAAAGTAAGAAACGCTGTTACACTGGAGACGTGTGATTGGAATGAGAATTGTCGTACAGAGTCTGGAGTCAGGCCTTCTGGAATAGTGCTCGAAATAAAAAGAAGTCAGTATGTCTCCGTGGACAGTACAGAGAAACATAATTGATATAACATATGGTAGCTCTCGATATTGGCAGCTTTGATATTTGTGACTATGTTCCTGAGCCATCACAAAGATCCATGATGTGACCACTTGTTATTTTGAGAGGTGTAAGTTTCTATCTTGCATCCCTTGGGCCTAGCCAGCCCAAGGCAGCCCCATCCCAGTGGGCTCTCTCGTTCCTTACTCAACGATATATACCCAGTTGCTCTCATGAAATGATAAAAGACTATTTTTCTCAGGGAGGGGAAGCCCCTAAAAGAAAGCCAGTGGCTTTCTGGTAATGGAAGCTGCTGCAGGTTTTGAAAGTGAAG